TTTTTTTTTTTTTTTTTTTTTACTTTAGAGTCTATCTCTTTAAAATTTCTCTAGATTTGTGAAGGAATAAACTTATGAGGTTCAAGTCCTAATAAATTCTTATATACTCAAATTTGACCTCAACACAAAATAACTCTTAAACAATTAAACTCATAAGAATTCCTTAATCTTTAGTGTTTTAAAATATTAAAACATCATATATAATCAAATATCAATTAAATAATCTAATTAAATAAACAACAAATTACAACATAATATTACATAAATAATATATAAAATATAATAAATAAGAAATAACTTACAAATAAAAAATTTAAGAATTAAATTATAGTTTTAGCTAAGCATATAATTTTAAATTTGTACTTAATTATTGTTATAATTTCAATTAGTTAACTATTAAAATAATTAATATATATTTATATACACATGAGCGCATACACATACATACATATATATATATAGGGAAATTCTAATGTACTCCCACCTATTTTTTAGTGGGAGTATGTTAGCAACCTACATCAAAATTTTAGGACAAAAAAATCACATTTCTTTTGATTTGGACAATTCGTACAAAGAATATTATAGTAATTTAATTTAATTTTAAATAAAAATAAAATATTTTCTCTTTCTTATTAATTTCATTCTCCAATTCATTTCTCTCTCTTATTAAATTTCTTCTCCAACTCATTTCTCTCTCATCTCTCATGATATCTCCCCCCTCTCTCTCTGAACAAATAAAAATTAATTAATAGAAAAAATAAATAACTTAGAGAATGAAGTTAATAAGAGAGAGAAAATATTTTATTTTTATTTAAAATTAAATTAAATTACTATAATATCTTTTATAAAATTAACCAAATCAAAAGAAATGAGTAGTTTTTTTGTCCTAAAATTTTGGTGTAGGTTGCTAACATACTCCCACTAAAAAATAGGTGGGAGTACATTAGCATTCCCCATATATATATATATATATATATAGAAATTCATCATATTGCAATATATTATATTAACGAATAGAATGATGTCGATAAAATAATTAAATTTTATTAAATATATGCATTGTTTTTGCACCGATACTGTATATAAATTATTAGAGATAAAAATAAAAATAATTTAATATTTTAAATGTAACATAAATTATTTTTCAATATTTATTTTAACAAATAATTCATATTACTCTTAAAATATTATATTCTTTTTTTAAAATACATGCATTGATTGTTTTGTACTCTCTTAAGTTGTTGATTGACCTATCTATATTGATGAATCAACTTCATAAGGATTATTTGCTATTTGAGCTTGATGTTAGAGAGGTTGTGTACCTTTCTAGGTCATCCAGCAACCTAGAGAGGTCAACAAGTTGACACTTGTTATGGATTATGGCAATCATAACAAATCACACAAATAATAAACACTAGTGGAAAAAAGACTTTTAAAATCGGTTATTTTGGACTTTTAAAATCGGTTATGGAACCGATCATAAAAGAGCCGATTTTGAAAAGGTAGACTTTTAAGATCGGTTGATTTATAACCGATCTTAAAAGTCTGGACGGTGAAAAAAATTAAACTGGAACGGGCCGTTCCAGTCTGTTCAACGGCTAGTTCTCCATGGAGAACGGCCCGTTCTGCAAGGAGAACGACCCATTATATTTGTTTTGTGTTAGGTATTAATTATGTGAATCTTTCTTGAGTGGGTTAATATAGATTAGGATATGTTAGGAGTGTGAGCAGTGGAAAAATCTAGGTGGAAGCTTCACAGAGTTAACCACGCCGGGCGCGACTTAGCCACGTCCAGCGCACCTAGAGTAAATGGGCCTCTGCCAAGACCCACGCCGGGCGCAATTAGAAATTGCGCCCGGCCCAGACTTCATTAAAGCCCTGGAACGACCAAGCTCGGCGCATTTATTGGGGCGTCGGGCGCATTAACTACTGGAAGGTCTGAGCCTTAAATACGCCGGGCGCGAATCTTCCCATGCGGGGCGCATTGAATGCTTGCACGTTTGTAACCCTAACTACGCCCGGCGAGAAACGGCAGCGCCCGACGCCACACCAGATGAGGGCAACTCTTGAGATTCTACTGATATCGCGCCAGGCGCGGGAGAATTGCACGCCCGGCATGACCCCTCAGATGCCCCATAACTCTTCGCGCCCACTCTTCCTCTCTTCACTCTCTCAACTTCCCACTCACTCTTTACGCTCCCATTCTCTCTCAATTCTCTCTTTCCCACTCTCTCCATCTTTCTCTAATTCTCCATCTCAAGGGCACGCATCTTCCTCTCCTCTCCTTCAGCAACTCAAGTAGGCCTTCTCGTTTCCCTTTCTTT